GGCAAGTGTTGCTGATCTTCTGAAGTGAGGCTGGGATCTGAAGAGGTTGAAAAACAGCTGGCCACAGCTAGTTCCCTGCCTCCAATATGGAGAAGCAACCCTTGGTGCTTCATGGGAAGGTGTGAGAGCCTTTTTTATGCTCCATAGAACAATATTTCATTTTAGTCCATAATAGAGATTTGCACAAAACCCTGAAGCACAAAGTTCATGCAGCCTCATGCAGTTGGCCCCAGAAGCAGCTCTGTGTAATGAGATGCGCAGAGGATCTGCGTCTTGTTATGGTCCTGTCTGTGAGTTTCAAACCTTCCACTGAGCGCTTTGTGTTAATTGTTCATTACATTCCAAAAATATCACATTATGTTAGTTTTATTACGTTCTTTGCTGATACTGAATGCTTGTTCCCTTGCTCCAAGATAGCAAGGCCACCTGAGATGCTCTAGGGTATTTGTCTGACCTACAACTTCTGCGCCAGAAGAACATCTTCCTTGCAGGCTCCATGCCATTTCTGCTATGGGGTTGTCTCTCTAAAGGTGTTTATCATGTCTTATTAAGGCATGCATCATTAACTGAAGTGACAGGCTTTTTCCAGCCATCCCCATAGGCAAATGGAAACAGCATGCTTGCACCTATGGTGTTCTAACCACCCAGTTATGGCACTCCTCTGAGCGAGTTTCCCATCTTGTGAATAAATAATGGGAAGTGTTAAGTCTCCTGGGAGTAATCTAACCAGCTGCTTCTTCTCTTTTCTTTTTTGAATTTGTGTAATTGTAGCTTCCAGCTGTTAACACGTTCAATGTTAAAGAGCTCTTTGCCACCAAAATAATTTGTTTGCTTGTTTATAGACTATAATAAATGTACTGTTTCATTTTCAGTTTCATGAGCTAAATAGATTGGCTTCTTAAGTCATTCCTTGTCCCATAAGTTTTCCAGACCTTGAATAATTGCTGGGGCTTTTCTACATTTTGTCTAATTTTTCAAGTTGACTTTGAAGGGTTGACTTTCCGAAGAAGTCAAAAGTTCAGAAGTTGTCTTAGTATCGGTGGCAACATCTCCACCTACTTCCTAGTGCTCTGCTCATATATGCCAAGATTGTTTTTGTTGATACAACCTGCTATATCTTACCAGAGTCCCTAAGTGGCTACTTCTTTCTAAAACATCTCCTGCCATTAAAGGCAGCATCCATTCTTGGTTGCTTGGTTGATTCAAATATATGTAGCTCACCAAGTAACCCAGATACCTTGGTAGAACAAGCTTGGATTTAATAAATTTTTCTATCATTTGCCAGTTTCTCCAGGTTTGACTTTTAAGTTAATGGGAAGATAATGAATAATAGTGGGCTGAAACAATGTGCTTCATCACTCTGCTTTAGACAACTGACCATGGCAGATCTCAAAAGCTACTCTAAGTGGTGAGTTATCAACTCCTCTTTTCTGATCCATTTATATTGACTAAATTGGCTGCTTCTAAAGGAATTCTTTGTGGGAATGGTGCCCAGGGACAGGCTTGGGCAGCTGTCTGCACCATCTGGCAGGCTCCTGTTGGGGGTGAGCATTTTAAACAGCTTCACAGCCATCAAAAAGTGCAATTCGGTTTTGTGCAGGGGCAGTTCCAGACAATGAGGTAACTCCTAAGAGCACCAGGGAAGGGAGGGGAACGACTCGGTCACCTTCCCAAATGAAAGCGCAGCGACCATTTGTCTGGGGGGGCTGGTTTACTCAGACCTCCCAGGACTTCTCACTTTTCCTTGAGATACCAAGATGCAGGTTCAATTTCCTCCTCCCATCGGGACTGTAACAGCAATGTAGAACTTTAACATCAGTTTTGCTGAGAGTTAGTATCAGTCTGGTCTTATTTCCTAAGAAAATACATAATTTTAAAATGAAATATACTTCTGTAGAAACAACTAATCTAAGTGGTGCAAAACATTTATGAGAATTAGATAGTTAAAAAAAAAAAAGTGATGCAAATACATAGCTTCCAAGCCCATCATAATTTAGTATAATTATACTAGAATTGTAGTTTAATATTTCAGCAAAGTCCCATTTCAATCTTACCGCCTCCATGTATCTGACACAAGTATGGAAATCGCCACACGTTCCCCAGGCCGACGGCAAATCCGATACAGCTTAAAATATACTGGAACTTGTTGTCCCACTTGGGTCTGCCATCTTCTTTAGGGATTTCAGGTGGCACTGATAAATCTTTTGACATTTCTATGAAATATCCTTAGCTCCCTATAAATGGGAAGATGCTTCAAAACCTGTCTCTCCTACAGGTTTTATGTGAGGTGACTGAAGGATCCTGGAAAGAGAGGTGGAGCTTCCTTTTTATGTAATGCAAAGGAACATGTCATTTGCAAAAGCTGCAGTTTAAAGACAAAACCAGGAATTATTATTATATAGACAGTTACCACTCTTGACTTTTTTTCAGTTCCTTCTATAGTTAGAGAATTTGAGAATATGGTGTTAATGGGTAACTCGGGATCAAACAGGTTTTTATTTTCTGTTCTCCTCCTGTTCCCAGATACTTTCAGAGAAGTGTGACACTGAATTTAATTAAAAAGAAACCTTTGCAGCAGACTTATTAAAACAGTAAAATTCTTGGAAAAAATCTGTAAATAAACGAAGTGTTGCCATTCCCTCTTTTAGTTTGTTAATAGGGTTAAATGATTGAAGACATCTTTTGCAAGTGCAAAAAGGAAACTAATTAAAAAAGCAAGAAAAAATAGACTCTGTATGTTCAGACATTAGATTCTGGTCCATTTTCACCACAGCTGCTAGAGGTTAATCACTTCCCACTTGTCAATGAATCCCAAGTGACTATTTTCATTGTTCATTAAATAGTTACTGATGAATGCGAGAGCTGAGTGCTTCCCTTCAACTGAAAGTGCGTGAGAACATTTTTCTGTTGTCTTTTGACTATACCAGGGTGTTGCTATTTTGCACTCCAAATCAGTTCAGTCCACACCAAAGAGATCAGCCAGACAGCTTCATTAAACCAACACTGTATGCCTGCATTCTCCTTTTCGAAATGGAAAGAGTATCTAACTAAAGATACTTAGAAAAAGAATCTCTGCTCTGCAGCTAAGCCTACAAATATCATCAGCTTGCAGATCATCCAACCAGAAGCCAATTTCACATCTAGGCTACACAAGTCTCCCTCGGTAAGCGCAGTTCATCTGTTTGCAGCTCCGCAAACACCCAGAGCCTTAGGTGGAGCAACTCAACTTCCCAGTTCCTTATCAGGATGCCTCACAGGGCACGCACGCGTCGGGGCACGCACGCGTCGGGGCACGCAGCGTGCTTTGGCAGCGCTTACACAGCGTCACCGCTGCCAGGGCACTCACTGCCATCGCCCCCGCTGCTGCTGCGCTTGGGACTGGAAGATGCCTTGTGCTGTGCAGGGGCTGTTCTAGCAACACAGTTTCCGTATCTGCCACCTGCAGCCGTCCGCTTCAAACTCGGTTTTACTCATTCTCAGTGGCCGAGCTTTTTCTCGGGAGGAAAACCTGACAAAAATTGTTTTCCCCATTGCAGAATAGCATACTTCAATGCTTTAAATAAGTACTCACATTCAAATAATTGAAAAAAAAAATTGAAGTTGAAATGCAAATGAATTCAATCATTCAAATACCCGCTTCAAACTCGGTTTTACTCATTCTCAGTGGCCGAGCTTTTTCTCGGGAGGAAAACCTGACAAAAATTGTTTTCCCCATTGCAGAATAGCATATTTCAATACTTTAAATAAGTACTCACATTCAAATAATTAAAAAAAAAATTGAAGTTGAAATGCAAATTAATTCAATCGTTCAAATACACATATGATGCCTGGTACTTTACACTCTATTTAGAGCAGATATACTACTCTAAAGACACAGCCTAGAGTAGATACACCCTAAATATTCCTATTTCTTGTAAGGGAGTATTTTGATCATAAGGGTATGTCAGGGTGTAAATTGGATCAATTCTTGACTTAAAAGGTGGGTATAAGAAGTCCTGCAAAGCGATACAAATGTGCTGCCCATGCACAGGGACAGTTGGATGAGAGGGACCCCCTATCCAGAGGGGACATTTACACTCTCTGCTTCTGGCATTCAGCCGGGGTGCTCTAGTGGTGCCCCCTTCCCTCTCCAGGGACCACACAAGGAATGGGACTCCTGACTTAGCTCCTCTGGCTCACGTGGAAGTTAGTTAGCAGCTCAAAATAGTTGTAAGGTAGGTGTGCGCGCACACGCGTCTGTGTGTCCGTCAACTAGAGCAACCCACCTTGACTGCGACAGATGAGGGCAAGAAGCTTTGCACCACTTGGGTGCCTTGGATCCCCCATCAGCATGGACCTCCCAGGCAAGTGGTGCACCCCTTGCTCATGGGTGCCAGATAAGGAAGATTTTGCCATTTTCTGAACTGCCGCTGACCCATTGCAAGATTACCTCTTCCGTCATCAGCAAAAGCAGCGCTATCTGCTAGGAACTTGGAAGGAATAGGCAATTAATGACATATTCAGAATCATAAATGAATCAAAACGTCATTCTCATATTTAGAAATGTTTTTATTAAATACTTTAAACTTCTACATGAGACAAACAATATTGGTGGCTTCGTGCAACACAGTGGCATGTAAAGTAAAAACGATTTAATGTGCAAGAGAAGTCAGTATTAAGTTACCCTTCATATTGGCCACCCAACCCGAATGATCGCAGATGGCAGAGTCACTTATGGCATGTCAAGCGCAGTGCATACCCGAACAGAAAACTGCAAGCCAGTTTCAAAGAAGCTGGATTCAAAACCAGGAGGAGGAGGACAAATGATTTGGCCTGGTGCCCCAATCACTTGCAATTGTGGCTGTTTTGCTTCCAGGATCCAAGCCGTTAACTCTTCACAGTGCATTGCATTGTTAAGTAAACAAATGTTTACCTGGAAACAACACATAGTTATCCTTTTATGAAAATCAAATTAACTCTGGATCCTTTAAAAAATTTTTTTTGCTTTTCTCACTGACAAAGCATTCTTCCTCATTTTTTAAATGGTTTTATGCTGAATACTTTAAGTTTCCATTAACAGAAGTCTCAGATGTGGAGATCATAAGGCCCGCACGATCACTTTTTTTCTGACAGCAATTTCTGATGGCTTTGTAGATGGCAAAGGCAGGGATGACCAAACTAGGCACTCCAGCGAGGATTACAATGATAGCATACACCCAGTTGGGATATTCAACCTTCTGTGTTTTGGGGAACTCCTCCTGAAAGAGCAAACAATCAAGTAGTAGAAAGTCATGAGGAGCAAATACCTGGGAACACGCACACGTTCAATAATTCAATAGGTAAAAAATGTGATTGGAACAGTAGCTAGCCACAATGGCACAATAATTTGCCAATTCCACAGCAGTTTCCAGCTCAAGAGTTTCCACTCTCAGCTGTTTTGGACTTATTTTTACCTAAAAGAGATGGAAAGAAGATGGCATGAAAGAAGCAAGAGCACCGAAGTGAGACTGGTGGGACTGGTCCCGGCACGCTTCCCGGGCAAAAAGGAATGTGGGGCTGGAGGGGCTCACAGGCCACCAGGGCTTGGTGGCCAGTTGGGTGGGAAGGCTGAAATCAAAGGGTGCGGGAGGGCTGAAACATTATTAAGAAGGGAGTGATGATGCCAAGGAGGAGAGAAGAAAGCAGTCCCATTTCCCGTCTTCCTTTCTCTCCCTTTCTGTCTCTGTCTTTTGAAAATAAAAATTCATCTTTACAAATGAAGCGTGCTGCATGACTGTTTCTGCTTTAAGGATGGTGACTGGTACAAGGCCAGAGAACAAAAAGCAGAGCTAGACAGGCAGGAAAGAGATGGGGTGATGGAGAAAAGGGTGGGACCCACATTTTTTTAATATGTCCTTCTCTGTATCATATACAGCTTTTTATTCTGCAAGGAGAGGAAAGGAAAAGTAGGTAATTTATTGTTGCAACTATAATTTAAATCATAGCAATATATTTGGAAGAGAAAAGAAGAAATCTCGATATTAATATTAATTAATATTAATTTATTCTGTTAGTGATGAATAAGCAGCACTACTCTGGTTCTTCTATTTTTAAATGCACACAGAAACAAGTGCAATATCAAAATGGCTTCACAGATTTCGTCCTTTGACAACATAGAAATGTTGTGACATTTCCAGCTCTTCTGTAATCCCTACTGGGGAACTGACATCTATTTCAGTCTTGCCCAACAACTGGACTAATGTTTTGGCTTTGTCCACTTTGGAAAAGCTACTCAGGTGTCACTATATACCAGTTGCAGGCATCACAGCTGAATTTAGGACTTGTGTTCCTAAGTGTTACTTTTTATTATTACTTTATGCCTTGTAGTAAGTTTTTTACTGGAAAACTGGTTCAGATTGGAGATGAATATAACTGACTATGACTCTCTTACATTAAAGAAGAGTACATAAAATAATTCCAAATAAATATTTTGTTTTTATATACTTACATAGCTAGGGTCCCAAACGCTGTAGAGCAGTTCTTCGTTGACTTTCACCACAAAATAAAAGAAGAAGATAACTAACATAATGAGAGGACTGATAACTCTCCAGGTAACCTGCCAGAAAATGTTGGGCTTGTGTCCAATCATGAACTCAATATCCTTGTTAAACCTAGAAACAAAAACAGGAACTTCAGGACAGTAAAAACTGGTGACGATCAAAGGCTGCCTGCTCATAAACAGGGAAGTCCAAACTACAGCCAGATGTGCTTCCCAGGACTTTGCTAATGTCAGTGTGAAACGAGGATTGATAACAACATCAGGAGTTAGACCTAAGTGGTTCAAATTAAGGCAGATGTTGTTGTAACTATGTTAGAAGTCTTTAAGCCATCGTTCTCAAAAGTTATTCAGGAAAATTAGTTTTGGAAATGTACTTTCTTCAAGAAGTCTGTGAAGCATATGCGAAATAGTTTGGACACAAAAGAGTCAATGCAGATGCACTTCTCCTATAACATATTGCAGTATTGTTTAATGATTTTTTGGTAAGCATAAATTACTTTTTGTTGGTGGTTTTTGGGTTTGGTTTTTTTTTTTGGACTGCATAAATCAAAAGGAATGACATAACATTTAAAAAGAGGAAAAGCAAATTGGAGTAATTTTAAAAATTAGATTCTATGCATAACATTTGCTCAATTTGGATTTCTACCAGTTTTCTCAGGTTGAGTACTGAAACAACATTTAACTTACACATTATTAAGAACACCTAAAAATGTGCTATTTGGGTTATTCATAGAGTATGCAGTGGACAATGGGGCAAAAATGTCTCCACAAGAAGAAACAATTCCTGCATTGAGAGTGATACTATCTGTATCAATCCTGAACCAATTTATGACCTCTCCATATGATGTAGCACCATGTGCACAAACTTCTTAGAAAATAATTATTGTGGAAGCTCGCAGCTTCTGTTGTTAGTCCTCTTGTCTGGCTTTCCTGCATATTCTATAGGGCTAAGTCTGAGGGGACTAGTCAGTTGGTCCTACAGCTACGAACAACACACAGAATTCAGTTGAGTCTCAATTTCTACTTAAATTTATCTTATCTTTCCATCCCTAACTTCTAAGAACTAGGTATCATTCTTAAAATGATATGGAGCACCCTGTCCCAACTGCAGAGTGCATCCAGGTGTAGTTCACACGAGTGTCATGGATAACACGCAGGTTCTCCTTCAAGCAGGAGAGCCATCTTTTTACCAATCACCCTTTCTCAGAAAAAGGTCACAGAAACTCATCTGGAGCAGATACCACTGCCTTCGGGCAGCCCCAATAAGCTCTGTACCTCAAACAGGGCTACAGCAACGTGTACTGGCCAGGAACATGAAAGTGTGGTGTGAAGCTCTTTTCTGAATCAATCCCCACCCCTTTATGGCCTCAGCCCATGGTTGTGTCCTGGGAATCGTTTTAATTTGACTTTGTAAAGTGTTCTGAGATTTTAAAGGGAAGGAAAAGTGATCAACACAAACTTTTCTTTCCTTAACAAATTAAAATAAGCCTTCTTTCTCTAGGGTGCTCCCTCTGCTCGTCTAATTTACCTAAGCTGGTTCATGCCTCCTCAGGTAGTATAACACTCTAAGTCTGGGAAGACGGGCCACGAGGGCATTCACCCCATCGCCGGGAGCAGCGCAGCTGGAGGGGCTGGCACAGGTTCAAGCAAAACCTATGGGCGATTGAAGTCCCCACACTTTTTTTCACATTTCTTACATATTAATTCTAAACAGAAAGATTGTGAAATTTGTTTTATTACATCTCTAGAAAGTTGATAGGATAATTACTCACTGCTACAACTGATAAAGTTCTGAATGTATCAGCTAAGAACGTATCGCAGTAGCCTTGAATTTGTATCCTGTTGTAAAACGACATCTGCAGCCTGCGTGGAGATCCCTGCTTTGGACAATTCAGCATTCACTTTAAACACACCTGGGATATACCTCTGTTTTAAACTTTCAGCTCAATGCCAATGTGCTTGTACTTTGCTTCTGCTAATTAAACATTTGATGCAATTATCCTGAAGAGGACTTACTCCAAATGCCACCAGATTTAAAAAGTAAATGTGCTACAGTGGCATTTTGTAACTGTTGCAAATTATTCTGCTGCCTACTTTAAAAATAAATTACTTGCATACATATTATTATACTCTAGGGCACTTGCTAATGCTTAATATTTTCTTGCAATAGCTTAAGGATGTGTTTATTTTAGCTGATTGTTATAGAGCATTATCTATTATCATGTATTAATAGAAAACTGGAAAGATTTCATGTACAAATAAAAATCTCCACCACACTCTTGGCAAAGCATTTTTTTTGGTTGAGAAATATTTTAGAAACCTAAATCAATAAGAAACCCTGAACTAATTTTGCATAATTTCAGTGATTTCTATAACAGAAATGATATGCACTGAGGTGTAGCAAGATTGCAGCTATACAACTAATCAATTTATGCACTAGTTTCTAGTAATGTTTAACTTGTATTTCATACCTGTCTATTCCATAAATGTAGACGACCGAAAACATCTCAAAAAATGCAATTATTAGCAAGGGAATAGAGCCAGCAAAACTGTCAAAGAGAGCCAGCCAGTAATTACCAGACTTCAGCACAAAAATAAAAGCGATCAAGTAAGATCCCACACAGATGAGACCTGTGGAAAAAAAACCAAAGCAACGCACATTTAGGCAAAAAAAGCAAAAGCAAAAAAAAAAAAAAAAAAAAAGGCATTTTCCCCGTAACTAGAAAGCTTTATAAGTAACTTTTAACTTAGTTGGAGACTGAAGGTCACTACTTTATTTTTTAAAGGTACTCTGGGAAGGCCTGCTTCTATGCAGGTAGAACGGCAAAACTCTCCTAACGTTGTCCAGGTGGGAGATGCTGCAAACAAAACAAGAGAACCTTGAGGAGAGGAAACAGGTCCTCTTCCTCCTAGTGGGTAGGACCATGTTGCACTGACAGAAATCCTGCCTGGGTGAAGGACTCGGATCCTCTGGCTTCCCAACAGAGGCAACAAACACAATGAGCAGGTGATGGGCAAACCACGGCGTGAGCAGGCTCAGAAGGAGCCTCACAGGAGCTGCCCCATCGGGGCACGAGAGAAAACCTTCAGTAGGTTACCTAGGAGTCTTAGGACCATGCCAGATCAGAAGCAGATGGGTGGTGGGTTGATTTTTCAGCATATAAGCTGTTCCCTGGGTTGGGGGCAGGTCACTTATCTCTAAAAAAAGCACTTACCAGTAACAAGTTCCTTAGGCACTTTGGGGGGTATAATCTTAAGGTCTTGTAAAGGTACAAGCACACCTTCCATATTTCCAAACATAGATGACAAACCCAAGCAGAAGAGCATGATGAAGAAGAGGATGGACCACAAAGGCGAGACAGGCATTTTGGTGATAGCCTCAGTGAAGACAATAAAGGCTAGGCCAGTTCCTTCAACTCCCTGTGAAAGATTTCGGAAGCTCCAAAGTTAGGCTCTTAACATCGCGCAGCACTTAAATCTACACCCGGTATTCACTAGACTTGGTGTATGCTACACCACACCACAATACTCATGCTTTTTGTTTCCACAAAGACCTCCTAATATGGCAATATATTGACTGTAATAATAATGCAAACTTAGTTCATGGGATTTTATGGACACCTATTTTCATCTGTAATTCACCATCTTTTTAACAAAAAAGAAGAAAAAAAAAAGGTGCACATATACACATTTAATACTTCTTGTAACTTTTTTCACCCGGGTGTCAAGATCCTTTCTGTGTTGTGACACGCTCGCACTGGTTGGGGCAGGGCTTGCTCCAATCGCTTCCTCACTCTGGGAGTCTCTTCCCTGGTCATCTTGTCCCACCACAGCCGCAACCACCGAGTTCCAGAGAAAACACCTGCTGCTATTTTGCCAGCTAAATGTGGCCAGACTAGAACGCTTGTGGGTTTAGCTACTGGTCTCACAGATTGCCAGTACTTTTCAGAGGAATTGAACAGTTTATCTCTTCAAAACCAAAACGGGGTAAACAAAAGTAATTCTTCAGCCCAAGGGCATTCCAAGCCAACTGCAATCAATCAGTGGCAATATGAAAAACCCCAGCCACCTCAGAAGAAAAAGCATTAGGCAATTAAAAAATTTCTATGCGTTCCTACCATATTTATGGCATTGATATGAGTCAGGGTGTTAAACTTACATCATTCAGGAAAGTTTCCAGATTACAGGATTCAAACTTCAGGCTTGCAAAAAGCAACGGATCAGTCATGTTACATAGCTGCTGCATTTGTTCAAAGTTATCTTGGGTTACGTTACCTTCTGGCAAGTCAAATGCATTCATCAGAGTAAGAATATTTCTGAAAAAGTGAAATACAAGTAATTTGAAATTATTTATTTGTAAACATCCTCAGGATTCATTTTCATCATTGAGCAAGTTGTTAAGAGCACGGTCTGTTATAAAGACACAAAGGAAGCCATGTTTCTGTTGCTCAAGATCAGATTTTGAAATTGGAAAGCCCAGCAGTTTTGTGCACGTGCAATTCCTGCTTTCTTCTTCCAAGGTGAGTCTGATACCATCTCTCACAGCACAGATGACAGCTAAATGGGTGGGCACTCCAGGGACCCGTGCCGAGGTTAGGTGCCCATCTATGCACTGCACACTGGGCACCAGTTCCTAGACTGGGCAGCTTCTGGGAACATGTAAGGTGTCTGCTGTTACCTACCACGCACGTTTACAGCTGATGTGGAGGAACTTGACTGGAACCTGCAGGGTCTAGCAGCCCTGCTTAGAAGGGAGTCTGGATTGCTCTGATGAGACCTAAGCATTTAAGCTCTCCAGGAGGCAACCTAAATACTGAGCTGACACAGGGACCGGGGTATATTGCATTCGTGCCATATGTCAGCCCAGCAGGCATCAATTATTGTGACTTCTGCAATTTTTGTTTTGGCAGAGTTTCTGGACAACTTTTGAGTGGTTGGTAGACAGTCATCTAATGAATTAAAAAGAGAAGAATTTAATGAATTAATTTGGGTAACTTGCAAATGTAGTACGCAGAGTCACTGCAGTACCTGAAGTGCCTACACTGTGATCCAGCTGTGGCCAGGACTTTGGAGGACTGCCAGAACTGAGTGGTCACGGGGAGATTTGTTAAAATGAGCAGAACTTTCAGCGGCTCACTGCAAGCGATCTCCAAGGCACAACTACATAGTTTGGCCAAGAACATCAGGAAACCTTTGAGGATTTGACATTAGGCTCAGTAGACACAGCAGCAGCAGCCTAGCCTTTTCTATGTGATGTAAAATCCAATTTTTGACAGAACTAATTTTATGGAAACTTTTGCCCTACCCAGTCAAATAAATACATTTCTTCAGAACACAGTGTTGCATACCCATTGTTGCAAATGAAAAATTTTTCACATTTACCTCTAAAACTATAGATATTCTAGCATGTTTTAGTGAAATAATGTATCACGAACTGAATCTACCTTTATGTAAATAGAAATTGTTACATAAACTGCAATTATACTTGAAAGAACTGCTTAAAAAAAAAAAGATTAAAATATGGAATATCCTCCTCCTCTGTTGTTACTTTTTGGAAACATCAGGGAATAATGTAAAATCTATCTATCTAGGAAATATTTATCGAGGAAATAAGGTGGGTCAAATAATTATCACTCCCTATGGGGTTGATATCACATGATTTAAATTTTTTGAAGTAATGAGTGGTCTGATGCCATGTGGGTCAGGAAATGCAATTGTTCAGAAATAATAAATCCATTATCATCAGGCTAACAGAGCTGCCTCAGCTGAACAAACACCTGTGTATTCTTTTTTTTCAATAACTTACTTGTCAAAACAGTCATCATATCTTTCTGTGGCTCTAAATCCAATGATGGAGTATATGACGGTTGCTGCATAGATGGATGTGAAACCATTGATCACTGAGATAATCAGGGCATCTTTCTCACAGTTATTGCTGCAATTCAAAGAGAAGAAACAATGGATTTCAAACACATTCCCCCCCAAAATACTAAAAACTCGCTATCAAGACTAACAGAAAAATAGTCTACAGATGCATGGCTACATCAATATGCTCTCTAAGAGCATACAAGTGCAGCTGTTAAAGATAGATTTAGTGAATTAAAACTTGGTGCCTTAAGCAGTTAATAGCTGTGCTTTCTTTTTTTTTCCCTTCCCCCCCCTCCTGAAATAATTCTATTCATAAGGTATAATTGCCTGAGTTGTTCCCATGTCTGGCTCATGGAAAGCAAAACATGAGGGGCAAAAAAATATGTCTCCTCTTTTTCATGCCTGGCATGCCTGTGTGCAGACACACATCGGCATGGACTGTACCTTAGCTGCTGGGGTGTTCTGCTGCAAGGTGAATGATTTGGGTTTGAATTCGGACAGTCAGAAGGGAAATGTGACCAAAAGTTTCCATAGCACTTCAGTATGGTGAAGCTGTAGTAGCCAAGAGCACTTAGGAATGGATTTGTTTGATTGTTGGACAGAAAACGGTTCAAAATGTCCTCAAGTTTTGGAAATATGATGGAACGTTATGCTGATAAGGTCGGACTGACAATCTATTACACTGTGAAAGTTGAACTGCTTTGTAAAGACTTCTCTGCTGCGGGCACTTGCCAACGTGTCTGTGCTAAGATGACAAAATTGCAGAGCCAGAAAGAGACTTTCATCTGAGAGAGCAGATAAAGGATCAATATTAAATTAGTTAATGGTTTTATGAGAAGGCTGTAAAGCTGTAGATATTGTATTTCTCTTAGGCAAGAGAGGACTATTGAGATTAACTTGATGATATCATATTTAATTTTCTGATCACCTTCAAGAGGAGAGGAAAAACAAGCCTGTCCAGCCAAGAGCTGTGACACTGTGACCTTTCCTCATTTATGGCGTTGCAAATAGGTCTCCAGTGGGTGGAAGGCATTGAATGGAAATTCCTTGCTGTACTCTTGTGTCAGTTTTTTCACTGTAACATGAGATTCTCAATGACAGGTTTGATAAAAATATTTCTTCCCTTCAGAGAAAATAAGAAGCTCAAACTCCTCCTTCTTACGAATGCGTGAATCCCCGATGGCATTGGAACCTCACAATATTTCCTGAGATGTTCATACTCCCAAAATGTCTGGGAGCAGAGTCACTCACACCTGGTCCAGCTAGTGCTGGTCTGCAGGTGGCCTGATGCCACAGTGTAACACTATGGAATTTGCTTGTTTTTTCTTATATCACTTCCATGGGAACTGCATGACTTTCTGCAGTTTCCTCCTTAATTGGAGAATGATTGAGAGTTGAAGGAGCATGTCCTGGTGCCACAGCCCTGTGTGTTGAAAAAGCAGGAGGACATTGCTCCTTTTCTTTGTGTCTTTTGGAAGGATGCAGAACATTCTCAGCCCTGCTCCTCATGGTTGTGGGAACATTGACTTGGACCTGAAGCAGGGCTTGTCACCTCACACTGAGGTTCACAGGCACCCAAATTTCCAGATGAACTTTTGAAAAACATCTGAAATCAAGAGTGGTGGCAACGAGTAACATCAGTGACTGAAATGCTCGTGTGGTGTGGTCAAACCTGAATCAAAACTGAAACAGATTTATGAATGCATGACCAAACCAGATAACCAAAACTCAAATCGGAGACATTTATCAAAAATATTAGGTTCAGAGAATGCTGCATGGTTTGTCTTTCAACTGGACACTGTTGAAGGGATCGAAGGCACCGAGAGGCATTAGTGGTTGCTCCAACATTTTGGGATGGTGAGTGTAGAGTATAGCATCATGTTGTGATTTGCTAACTGGGTCATTCCCTGGGTGATGGCAGTTTGTACTCCATCTCTTCCCTGGCCCCATCATATATACAAAGGAAGGAACTGAACTGGAATTTCAAAACTCCCAGATGTATCTTCTAATCTTAAGCTAAAGATTTAAATTGTGGTCTGTAAATTGCTTTGAATTGTGTGTACCATCCCCCAGATCCAACGGTGTGGAGAGAGGGCAACACCATGCATTGAACGCTCCCACAAAGGCAGCTCCTGCTCATCAGCTGGTGGTGGGCAGCCAGTCCCCTCCTTTCTAGCCTGTACCACCGCATCCTTCTGCAGGAAATCAGCCACAATTTGGACCTGAAATCCTGGCTCAGGAGAGCTAGGATCAGTTAGAGATGTGCCTTACATGGCTGAGGGCATCGTGTCCCGGTCCCAAGTAATTAATCTATAACAATAGGACAGAAGTGGATATGCTTCATTTGAAAGAATGAAATATTCATGTAAAAATTGGCTTTTGCCTGGCTACTTACTGAACAGAGTTGTAACTGGAGAATGAAATGAGGCCTCCAAAGGCCAGGGAGAAAGAGTAAAACACCTGCGCACCCGCGTCCAGCCACGTCACTGGGTTAGCCAGTTCGGTAACCTGAGGCATCAGACATACAGCACTAAGCATATGCAATATTGCTCTTAAGACTGAATATGAGGGATTTAAAACAGTAATTAAAACAAGAACATTAACCATGCAGAACTCATCATTTCTGAAGAATGTTAACAAATAGGTCAATACTTCTGTCAAACTTACTTTTTTTTTTCCCAAGAAGAAAATCTATCTGTAGGTTTTCTAAAGTATTTTGAAAATTGATAAATTACTTTCTACAGCTGACAGCTGCCATGCCTGTTTCCAGAAAAGTTGTTTATTATTTAGCACTAATAATGACCATTCAGAGGTCTTCTCATGGAAAATGAAACCCCTTTTGATTTTGTTTAAAAACTGGTGTATGGTTAAACCATTCTCTTAGGTCTTTTGTTCATATAGCCATACTGATTAGATGGATTCTACTCCCAACTGAAAGATTATTTTTCATAAGAGATTTTGATGGGAGGTAGACAGAGAGAGAGAATATATGTGTGTATATGTATATTTTACATTCAATGCAAAGGATTCACCTCCAAGAATCAAGATTTTAAAGATGTCTGAGAGAGAGTTAGAAAAGCAGCAATGGAGGGGACTAATTTTCAGTCGGTGAATTACAGAGAGAACTACATCATGTTTCACTAAGGGACAAATTATGCAGTGACTTACATTAGGGGTGAAGAGATACACAATTCCATTGGTTGATCCTTTCAGCGTCAAGCCACGGATCAGAAAAATGGTAAGCACAAGGTACGGAAGAGTTGATGTTACATACACGGCCTGCATGAGAAGCATGTAAATAAAACACTTAAATAAAACTGAACACTTGAATAAAAATAGCACTGCAGGGAAGAAAAGAGGGCAATAAACAAGGTAATGTGAGTAACAATAATGGCAAGTTTCAAGTGAGTTATAATTAACATGCTACAGAAAACTACATTCAAGAGAAACAGTATATGCAGTACATTTTGATAATAAACATTTTTATAGTTATAGTGCTCTATTTAAGACAATTTGTCATTGTTGAAATTCAACTCAGATCATTCAAAAGCAGCATAAAAAAATAATCTACACCCTGAGATCAAGTTGATGCTGCTGATGCAAGGATGGGCTCTTAGGGCTTCGCTGGGCAGCAGAACATTGGTCACACTTTTAGAGAGATAATATTAAGGACTAGAGCAAATTCAAATAAATCTGTACATGTATGTTTTGAAGAGAATGACAGAGTCCCCTGATCCTGCATTAAAGTTTAATATTAATATTAATATTAAAGCCTAAAGAATGTTTTACTAGAACCTATGGGGACAAGGAAGCTGAATTGCTCACAAAAATCTCCCCATAAATCAAATCAAATCAAATCAAATCAAATCAAATCAAATCAAATCAAATCAAATCAAATTGAATTCCATTTCATTCAGCTTCCTTCTTCAAAAAGCAGCCCCAGTGATGACATCCGAAGTTTTAGACATGCTTTCACTCAAGAAACAGGCAGTTTCTACTGTATGATTAAGTCTGTATGAATAAGGAATCACAACAGCATAATGAATGTAATTTCATAAAAAACCAAAAATAGAGTACCTTTCCTGTTGTTTCGATGCCTCTGATTGTGCACACGTACAGTACACCCCATGCGCACGTTAAACATAACAAAAGCCACCACTGTATAGTGCCTGAATCGTCAATGGAAGTGGAGATGTTTAAAGTTTCTCTGTACCAGAAATAATCTACAGGAGAGCTCTTGGCACACTCTTCTATGTAATCTGTAACCACAAAATGGTTGTCATTCTGTATGTCTTTTATTTACTTGAAAAAAAAAGAAGTTAAATAATAAACACCAGTGTTCTAAATTATACCACCTAATGGCAACGACTTTGTTATTAGCAAATTTCAGATTCTGGTGTCATGGAAAAATGAGAAATTTAAAAGATAATTGATTAACAGGGATTTTAATACAGATTTTATTGTTATTTCTATTAATTCAACCAGGCACTCAAAGACTCTTGTATCTTTATAATTTTTCTTTTTTCCTACAAAAATGTGACGTTAGCAGTCTCTTGTGCCAAGGAAAGTGTGGAGAGGATTTCTGAGCATAATGTACGCACGTTGCATGGAATATAGTTTTTTTTAGTAGAAGAAAAGCAGTTAAGCAGATGTTTTTCAATGATTGTACAGTTCCTAGCTCATGTTAAAAAAAAAAACCTAAACAACTTTGGGTTTTCCACATGCATCCTGCTCTTTCTTGCCCGATGGAGTGTGGGCACCTGCCCACAGCTTCCTGCAGCCAGGTGGCTCTTCCCCTCCCACACCTCCTTCAGATCAGCAATACTTTGTCTTTCTGTTTTGTGGGGCATCATGCAAGGTCTTGTCAGCTGAGGTTGGATTCTCAGCTCCTTGCAATGTGCTGACCTGTGTGGCATTCTGCCCTGGTCTGCTCTTATATGAGGCTTTTTATACTTATTCTGGGAGGAGAGGAGCAAAGCTCTCTGAAGAGCTATTCACTGACCCATCAAAAAAACCTGCTTCGTACAGTTTCGTGCAGGGTTGACTACAAAAAACAAAGCTGCTGTCACCAAGCAATCTGCAAGGGGCTATAGACCGTTGTCATATTAGATACAGGTGTTTCATACGGACTATGCATTGCCTTTTTTTTTTTTTCCCCCTTTTCAATATGCTAATAGAGGGCTGTTGGTGAAGAGATGGATGAAACACATTGTCTAAATCTGGCAAATGTTAGTGTTTATGCTAGACTTGCACTTTGTGAATATTTGACAGATGTGTTCTGTCAAAATCAGCCCTGAAGTTTCATACAAAAAGTCAAAGTTCGTCTCAAAGATTAAGCATTGATCACATTTTATATAATGTGATTTTTTACAAAATAGAAGTATTAAAAGAGCACAATGTTCCTGACAGGGCTGCCATGCCTTGCTGTTTGTTTACAGAAAGAAGCTCAATTAGGCTAACTGCTAGAAAAGGAAAAATGTGCTGCGCAACAAAATATAATATTTTGTAAAATATACCTGTTCTGTTGTCATTGAGAGGACAGCTATTCCAAGGCAGGGGCTCTTGGAAGGAGTTGAAGAAATACCACATTACCCAGGCAATAATAGTATTATAATATAAACCCACCAGGAAGGATACAAACATTGCCGCTATGCCTGAAAAAAATAAAATCAATGCAATGTAAATTTTGATCCTCTTGACTTCAAGACATATCAAAATATATGGTATGTTACTCTCCTCCCCACCCTAATTCCATGGTTCATAGCCTTTCCCCTCTCCTCTCTTTATTTTGGATGTAGGTTTAATCACTGTGAATTTGTTACCTGAAGGTTGGATAGGTGAGTCCTACATAGACGTACAGCCTAAAACTACTCTGGGACTGAAGCTGACACCCACTTAGAAGCCAACATTATGGGGGGACTAACTCCCTACAGACACTACACAATCCTATTCACAGTCTTGCCCGCTGATATCTACGGAGTTTGGGATGCTAGGTACATGTAAAGCTCAACTGACTTGGGATTTTGCCTAAATGAGACCCAGATTGTCCTTCCCTTCCACAATGTCACTGCAGAGGCCAGCAGATGTATTTGGGTAACGTTTGTTGTATTGGATGGATAGCTGCCAGGAGGCACAATCTGTGAAAAGGTGCAAGATTCAAGCTCGTATCTCTCCTTCTCCACTTGCTCCCAAGTAACCTCTGGTGACTTCTCTGGCAGACAGAAAAGGCTAATGATTAGCTCCTGAGGGCTCTTAGGTTCTGAAGAAGTTTCAAAAATTCCAGATGCAATGGACAAATATCCTTTGTAACTGATTTACAGATGCAGTGAATGCCAACAACAGTCCTTACTGGCTGCGTTTCTTCCAAGAGTGTGGTAATCACAGAATCACAGAACATCTGAGGTTGGAAGGGACCTCTGGAGGTCACCTTGTCCAAACCCCTGCTGCAGCTTGGCCACCTATAGCTGGTTGCCCAGGACCATGTCCAGGCAGATTTTGAATAGCTTTAAGGATGGAGACTCCACATCTCTGGGCAACCTGTGCCAGTACATGGTCACCCTCCCGGTGTCTCCTGATGTTCAGATGGAGCCTCCTGTGTTTCCTGTGTAATGAGGTTTCTGTGGAGTTTTTAATGCTCTGTGCGTCATGCTGCTTTTACTACACTGTCAGACAGAGTGTTTGAATACTCAGAAGTCTAATACAGATATGAAGAAGTATTTTCTGCAAAATACTGCCTCCATGGCTTTTAGTGTAGTACCTCTCTCAGATGTAAGAAAGTAACATTACATGGAGCTGGAGTCTGGTAGACCAGCTTAGAAAAAGTTTCAACTATTATTTATCCACAGAACAGTTACCGAACAAAATTGTGGCACATTTAAACATTCATTCTATTGGTAAAAACAGCCAATATCGATAATACAAAAAAATATCTATGAAGCCTGAAATTCGTCTCAAATTAGAGAAAGGTTTTAACTGGACCAATAGTACCTGGGAACGCGGACACAAAATTGTCATAGTGCCTTATCATGATTAGTGTGACCTATCAATGGAGAGTTAGCGAGAAGGGAAAGGGAATAGATCCTGGAATCTCTTAGGGCATGTTGGAATAAAATCCTGAACCTTTGTTCTTAAGGTTATCAGTTCAGAGACTTGTGCTTTCTCAGTGGGTTTTTGTATCCTCTTCAGACTTACCAACCCCTTTCAGAGTAGGGTGGATAGAGCTCCAGACGCCCACACTGCCTTTCCTCAGCCTTTGACCAATGGCGAACTCCAGATGAAGCAGGGGGATACCCTCCAGGACCAGCAAAATCAGGAAAGGGATCATGAAGGCTCCTGAAATGCATAAGAAAAACAAACAATTCCCATCAGCGAAGTACCACAATAAAGCACAAACATTAGTTTTGTGGGCTTTTGACATAGTAAGCGACTTGTAAGCATACTTGTGGAAATCTTTCTTCGGTCTCTGAGCAATGCTTTTGCCTGATTGCCCAAGCAGGGGACCTGATAACATACGAGGTTTCAGGTAGGAATTCTTGTTCTTCCCAAGTGACAAACATAAACACAAATTATACACTCGCACGGTTAAACTTTGAGGAAGCCACCTTTGGATTGCAAGTGGAGGAAAGGTAGTTACTTTCCTGGAATGACTTCCTTTTTTTCTGCAAAATATTATGGTTTTATAATTGTGAATCATGCAAATTATATGAAGTAGTTCAATGAACCAAGCAAGATATTTCGAAGGATTAGGCAGGAGCCTGGGGCTGTTTACATAAAATGACAAATAACTTCCTGGCAGCTGTATTCAACAGCTTTTATGTTTAAATAGAAGAGATCTGAAGTTCATGGTTCAAATCCTGTTAATTATGAGAAGGCTGGTTAATATAGGACAAGTTTTTTAAATTAATATTTTCATGAATAAAGTGTACGTGGGACATGGGAGATAACATATAACACCACACAGGGACACCAAAGTGCAGTGTCAAATGCTTGAATATTGCTACATGTTAGAATCAGGGTTATCTGTCATTACAAAAAGTCTTTAACTTCCTAATCATAGGCAATAAATAATCTAACTGCATGGAAAAAATGCAAAAAAGTATTTGAGTAGTTTAGGTTTGGGTATTTGCTGACTTTCTTATGTATGCAATGAAAATCAGATAGTGAGTGAAAAAGGAAATTTGAAGAAAGGAAACTATAGTTCTAAATTCAAGGCATATTTTTTGGAAGAGCTGAACTGCATGCTTGTCTGCTCCATGGGGTATCTTCTTGATGTCATCTACACCAGGATTTTAGAAATTATCATTACTGCAAAGCCTTCATTTTCTGTGTACTTCAATAAAGTCTGCTAAAAACAATATTGTTGTATCAACTAGCCACTATTATAATGAAATCAGCCAACTATACTTTTTGCTTTCTACTCCTATGGAATTCAAGTAATGCTAGTTACTCATCTGTCATTCATTGCCATTTTTAATATTTGCTAATCAAAATCAGTAGTTTTGAATACCTAAAATGCTATTCAAAATGCTAAGCACTTTGAAAATGCACATGCCCCCCATCAAGTTGAATGACTAATCACTGACGCACCAGAAAATATATTTTTTGTTGAAGCCAGTTGCCAAAGGTAGCTGTATAGACATGATATTCTCAGACTTCTGCAAAGCATGTCATTTAACAATGAAAAAACTTCTTACAAAAAATTTAACGCTCTTCAACATCAATGTAGCTCATCCTGCATGCATTAAAAGCTATCTATCACTGTAAAAGCAGAGACTGACAAACTGAAGAGATTTCAAAGGAGAGACAGAAGAATAACTGACTCGGGACATATTTTTTATTAGGGAAAAACTGAAGAGCTCATTATGAATTATTAGTAGAGAAGTTTGCTAAACTTCCGACTCTGATGCCTTTTCCTCTCTTTCTTCTGTGTCAGTTTATCACCTTGAGAAATGGATAGTATGGGCATCATCACCAAGGAGGACAGTATCCCATTTGTTGAAGGATTGTGGTCCACCCTAGATTTGAGGAAACTGAACCACTCTAGTTGCAAATTCAGATGTAAGAATGTGTTTCTTAGCTGAGATATCCTTACAAATGATACCAGTGCTAAAGCAATCACTTCCTGTCTTGTGTCTTTCTGAATATGTATTTTCACATCACAAACATGTGAAACATATAGGGCATATTTAAATTTTAGAGGGACTAGGATCACTTCCAAAACAAGGTTCTTCCCCTCTGTCTTGCCGCTGCTCCAGGGACTTCTGCAAAACTACTGGGAGCAGAAGCTGCTAATGTCAGATGTAACAGGGCAGTCCTCTCTCCATGCCGTGTGGACTGGCTGCTGAAAGACAACTACACCAGAAATGGTGACGAACTCTTCAGCTGCTTGTGCCACAGCTTCATTGTTGACGATGCAAAAGTCTTACCCAACTCTGGCAGAGGTTCTGGGATTTGTTGAAACCGTGACAGACTTGCTCACTGCAAGGAACTGCCTCTCTCTGCCCTTTCAGAGAGTTTCTGGCATTTCTAAAAGTTTGTCCCATTTAGTCTGCATGGACTTACTTAGCTGTGCTGGAATATGCACTGGCCTGCACGTGAGGACCCCTCTTCATCTGACTACACATGCAGTGCATGCAGATTTGGCTTCAAAGAGTTTGGTGTCTACTGATTCTCCATCCTAGTTCTGTGAGTAACACTTCTGTGTTATTCTTGCTTTCATAGAAAACAGGATTTTTGCAGTGTACACGAGGAGTGCCCTCTCCATTGCGATCTGCACCCCTGCATCCCGATGGCTTCCTTCCTACATGGGAGGGTCAATGGGACAACCTGCACACACAGACCCTCTGGCCTTTCATAGACATAAAGTTATTTATCAATGCGTGGAGCTGCAAGCAGCCAGAAATATGTCATGTGCTCCAAACTTGTGTCAGGCTGGCGCACAGTTTCCCTCCTGTCGCGCTCTGTTCAGCAGCTCTTGTGAGGGTAGGGTGAGGCAAGATAATTGTGTTTATACCAGGAAATTTTAGTTCCAGATCATTCTCTCTGTTTTAAGCCCAAGACTCCTCCTAAGAGTCTGAAACCTGACCCTACAGAGTTGGTATGGCTGCTCAATCTGGATCTTTTCTTTTTATCTCCCCTTTTGGATGCTGGATAGGTCTCTGCTGTACCACAATCTTGCTTCTCTCCAGTAAAGCCTTTCCTCAGCAATGGTAGTAATTAAGTCCCGAAGATGTATCTGTACAGCTACTTGATCCAAATACGCCTCATTTGCACTCAAGGTAAGTCCTTGTCACCTTTAAAACTCAGCTTGCAGTGATTTTAGATCACCTTTTGAAATTTAAGAATGGACTGGTAGTTAGTTCTGCTAAGGTGCATTGCTTAAACATCTTTGCTCCTAATGGAGACATGTCACTTTTTCTCATCAGGTCACAGTGAGATTGCTTAAGGACTTGATTAAAATTTCTCTCTCCCCCCCTCAGGTCAACGATGTCGTTGTGTAAGGGAATGCACTGTCTTTATTGTCCTTTCAATCTATGATCACTTGTTTCTTATCATAACTGTCAAGGTAAATTTTTTTTTTGGTAGTTACTCTCACTGTTAGCAGAAGGGAGGGAAGATCAGGCCATTCCCTATGAAGCATTAGAAATGTTTCCTTCAGAAAGCATTCAAAGGTAGTCTCAACTTTTCACTTTCAGTAGAAAGCAGGTTGATTGATACTTGGTTTTGGACTCCTTTTTTCCATGCTTGCGACATTCTTGCAAACCATAAATGCAAAGTCCACCTCCCCTCACACAGCTCTAGTATTCTGGGTAGACAACGTGTCTCATCCTCCAAGATAACTAGATGCAGCAATAGCACTATCCCTAGACCATAATCCTCCCTGTGGACAGCACAGTCTATCGATTTTGCTGCAAGACTCTCAGAATTGAACCATCTTCTGTGGTGGACATGCCATCAGTGGATTTCCTGAGGTCTCAAGATACTTACAGAAGGACCTTCATTAAAATATCATAAAAGAAGCAGTCAGATAAAAGGACTCCATGCCCTTCGTAGAGCCATCTATCGCGTGAAAAGCTGTGCTGTCCAACTGTGTGCTCACAGGTCCCCGGCTTCCTCACTACCTTGGAATCACCAGGAAATAAATTTCAGGTTCTGGGATGGACACAAATGGAGAAGGTGGGTCTCTGTCCACCCTGTTTGTTATTACATACATAAAGTACGTGGTGTGTATGTACCTGCAGTGCAGAATCCGTGTCCCTATGCAAACAGATACAACTAAAACATTTCTAGCTTGAAGGGCTAGGCATCTATGGTATGGTAGCTCTGATGAGTTAAAAATGCAGCGTATGCCATGTCAGAACTGGACAAATAAGTAAAGCTAACTGTACTGAGCTGTAGGAATATTGGTATATTTTCAAGAGAAATAAAATGGCACTTCTCAATTATGTACGCCACTTTTTTCTCTTTCTTGAGTTCTTCTCTTTGCAGGGTTCAATTCTAATGACCAGCTCAGAAATCAATCTCTGCTGTATTTTCCATTTCTCTCAATTTCTTCCCAATCTCTCTGAAAGAAGCTATAATGGAAAAATAAGTGATAATGACTCTGCAAAGCTGCTGTATGAGACATAAAAAATATAAATCAATGCTTTTTAAGCTGTCACAATTTTATGAACCTAACAAATAAACCAATGATCTGAAAATAAATGCCATATAGATGTACATAAACAATGATTAATCTTTCCAGTCTGAACACCTTACAGCTGAGATATTAGATTCTCATCCTGTGTGTCAGTACTGGGTTTCAGAACACCTAATATTTGGTTTGAACATCTGTATAGCTATTACTCTCTCTTTAATCTAAGAATTTCTAATGTGAAATTGAAAAAATTACTATTGCTTTCGCATAATTCCTCATAAAGGGAAGACAGGTAGACTTCAGACAGAGATGTTTTTCTATACCATCATATTCTTAGACTTCAAATGTCATGAAGGTGCCATTACCAGAGAGGAACTGCCAATGTCATTACTGTCGCTCCATTCAGTGCGGCACGCACAGAGGTGAAAACGTTCTCTCTCATGCAGCAGCAAGGTTTACTGCAGACATATGCGAGCTGTAGACTTAAAGACTTTTTTTTTTGTCAATGGTTTAAACATTAAATATACATCCTCTTTCTTATAATAGTCATCAGGGATGAAACAAAAATGTTTAACAGTAGATTAAATGACATGTTGCTCAATAAAGATTAAACAAAAGCTATGTGTAATGTCAGAGATAGCTATCAAACGAAAGGAAATTTCAATCTCATTCAGCTGGGGAGAGCACAGAGGCAAACACCGTAGCTTTTACATGGTGTGTAGATTGAAATCTAGTTCGCCTGTGGCAATGATGTATTCTACAACTTTTAACACGTAAAAAGATAAAATGTGCATTACTCAACTAATTTTTACTGGGTAAATATTTCATTTTTAAAACTATAAACTCATAATCTATGACAACAAAAGTAAATGATGTAATCACTGATTTCTTTTTGTATGTTTGGGTATCACAGTGTTAAAACACTATCATAGTGTGTGTTGGAAGAAGAAGCCCTCAAATAAATCTAGATTTAAGTTCAAACATCTGAAAATAGTTATCTGTGCAACTCAGTGTTCCTAACTACCTTCACCACAGTCAATTTGCAGAGAAAAAAATCTACCTTCCTTGAAGTCCAAGTACTACAAGGGTAAATTTTATACTTCGCTATAGTCCTTTTATGTTTCATGAGGGATATAAAATGTGGAAACACTGATTCACAAAGTAGGTGGACATCCAACCTCATTTGAGAATGTCCTTGCTGAAATACTGACTATCTGCACCCTTGCTACCAGATCTCACCCATGCTAAATGACTCCAAACATTCATCCATATAACTCGTATTTCAAAAAGAGAAAAATTAAGAAAGCAAAGCCAACCCTCAGAAATTAGAAACTATTTTCATAAGGTAGTCTGTGCAACCTTGATTTTGCATTCATCATATGAGACAACCTCTAATTATATGATCACATAGCACTTTTTCTCATCCTCTGCAGAAATTTACTCCGTGGTAAATAGCTGTATTTTTTTCTCTCTCTTAATAACACGGTCATAATCCACCATCATATCCACAGTGAGCTTTATGGCTATGATGAAATCATAACAGGGTCAGTCATGGTCAGGGACAGACTGAGGAGCAGCATAATCCTCGTCTCCAGTGAAGGAGAGCAGCAACAGGCATTCCCACCACCCTGCACCTAGGATTCAGTGAAGACACATCTCGAAGACACAAAGTGTGAAGACACACACCATCCACAGTTAAGGCACTGGATAGACCAGGGGGAAATTGAGTTTCCCCAGTGCACTCATGAGTGTGGTGTATGCTTTGTATTAATTAACTTAGAAGAAAGCGTGTAATATTGCACTTTCCCCCTACTCTGTTACAGAAGCGCTTCTGTGTACCTGAGTGCCCAAGGGTCACACAAATGCTAAGATGAATTAATCATCTTGACCACCATGTTGAGTGGTAAATACTAAGGCAAAACTTGTCCAAAATGTCTAGTAAATATGGATTTTCAGCTGGAGGTAGGTGAAGTCAGACTTACGAGTGCCTGTGCAATCAAAGATGATGCAGCGTGCTGCTTCTATTGGGTGTTTGCTATGCTGTGAACACGGCTGAGTGGGAATTAGAGATGTGGGAGCCAGAAAGTCTCACTAGGTAGAAAAATGTCTTCAGACACTTCTCAACACTAAAATGTCTTCAGAAATAAGAACTTCAAGATCTGTTTTTACAATATGGATAGTCACATGTTCAAATTCAAAACCATCCATCTGAAGAACAGCAAGACTTTTTTTTTTCTGATTGAAGGGAGAAGTTGGAGAACAGGAGTTGTAATGAGAGGATGGCAGTGGTGGCAGGAGTTGTATTGAGACCTACCAGAAGAGACTGAGGTGCACTTTATAGCAGGGAGGGAGGAGGGATTGTGCAACAGTTCTCCACCCTCATGTGTGATGAAGTTAAGGAGTCCTTTCTAAGAAGCCACGAGAAGGCATTGCTGCTCACTCTTATGTACTGATAAAGGTCTCAGCATTTGGAGTTCTGCAGAAGAATTGATAGAGAAAGTAGCAAGTCTAGCTACAGGGACACATATCTGTACAATAACTCTAAGCCCAGAGCCAGCTACATCCTTTCTTTGCTACGTACTGCCTTTCGCCTTTCAGCTTCAGCTGAAAATTTGAGTGAGAGTCCCAGGGAAGAAAGAAGCTGGGGATAAGTGTTCCTGGCAAGGACAAGCCACAGGATGATGAGAAAGAAAAATAATTGCTGCCGTAGGATAAATTAAAACACAGTACTGACACACACACAAAATTCATATATCTTCACTGACATCAGTCAGAAAACCATGATCCATACCAAGTTCTTTATGTTTGTCGGATGTTCATTTTTCAGCTACATTTCATGCTGCTACAACAAAAGGGAAATGAAAGATAGACAGAAAGAATCATGAAAGTGCCTATAAATCAGCCCTGGGAAGCAGGGCATGCCCCCTTTCTAAGACTAAGTAGAAGAACCTGAAAAGCCAATGAATGTCATGAATTTTTGAGATACCCATCCACTTTTTCAAATTAAAATTGTCACACAGGCAAAGGGGGGGATATGATTTTTTTTGTGTGTCTTGTAACTTTTTTGTTACAAGAGTTGACTGTGCTGCAGATGACCTTCAGTTTGCACTGCAAACTCTAAACACTGGACCATGTTAAAATAAACTAAGGTTAAAAGCATCTCTTCTTGCAACTGAGTCATCTACAGTTAAACGTACCCAAGTTTGTACCAGCAACTCCCCACAGAGCCCTCCTTGGTCCCTACTCTAACTAAGAAGAGCAATTTTTAAACATCTCATTGTGTACATTTAATGAAAATTACTTTGAAATACTGATCATTAAGCCAAAAGCTTTCTTTCAGGATCAAATGTCACAAAGGAGCAAACACTTTTTACACATATCCTGGAGTGAAATGCAGATAACAAGTACATTGTGGGCAGAAAAGTCTGTCAGAAAATGAGAAAATTATGTTGTCATGTAATATTTAAGCAATGGCTCAGTTCAAGTTCATCTTGAAAAACAAAGAGTGAAACAGTGAAACAAAACTTTTAATATGGTCATTCAGTCCTAACCTGAGCCCTAAGGAGTCACAGTAAATTATATGGTAAATAGCATACATTTGGATTTTAAATTAACTTAATAACACTAGCTGCCAAAAACACATTCTTAATGTTAGCTACTTTCACGCTGTTACTCCTATCATAAACTACATGCACACTGACCCTACTGCCAATGCGCAGATCGGTCTAAACCCAGTGAAAACCCTATTATGAAAAGATTATCTGGGATCATGATCAGAATCATACTCCCAAGTAGTTTATTAATATTTTAAATATACATGCACAAATATGCTTGTATGTATGTAAAGTAACATTATTGCTATACTGGGTACATCACAGTGCAAGACTCATTTGATCAATCCTGTGTCCCAAAATAAAAAAAATGCCTTCCTTTTTGTCCATCACTAACATGACTCCAGTGGGTGTTCATAACCTATGAAATAACCTTCTCCATCAGACAATCTTCTAGAGATGAACATCGCCTTTCTATCAGGAACTGACCACTTGTAAACATATTCCATTATTTGTTTCCCAAAAGAGAGATTAAACCTAGTTTACAGTCAAAGTTAGTTAAGATATATTAAAGACATACCTCCTCCGTGGCTCTGACAGAGATATGGAAACCGCCACACATTTCCTAAGCCCACACAAAACCCTACACACGTCAGCATATACTGAGCCTTGTTATCCCATTTTGGTCTGGAGTCTGCCTCTTCTTTCTCAAGGACCTCAAGTTGTGCATGGGAAGGTATCCTGTCCTCCAGGCCAGGATTGGGCAACTGTAGCTTCACCATATTTTAAATTTCCTCACTGAAAACGCTGCCCCAGTGAGGAGATAATGAAACAGGCAGCTAGTTAGAAATCTGTGCAAAAAGAGAACATCTATTTGCTGTCTTCAGCTATATATAGCGAACCTTTGGCACTAAACTTGAAAGTGCAGGCTTGTGGTAAAAGAAGCGTCAGCAAATCATTCGATTGACCAAGTCAGCTCTGACACTTATTAATGCTTTATCTGTCAAGGTTTTATGGAACAGTCTGTTCATCTACTAGAAGACATTGATTTCAGCTAATGTAATTCAGGAGATAATTTGGCTATAAACTGTAATCGCCTATAAGGTTATAAAATACTCCTTGCCACTCCCTTGTTTAAACTCACTTAAATACATATATAGCCCTAGCAAATATGGAGTAAAAAGATTCCACTGGCCTCAGACTAAATATAGAGGTTTCATACTATTTTTTATCAGGACAATAAACTGCTCGTGAATCACCATCACATTCAGTTTCCCATAATGTATGCTTACAAAATTGTATGCTTCATGATAATTACCAGAGTGTGTTCTTCCTTCTCTGTAAGAGATCCTATTCTACTAAATGCTCTGACAAAAAGGATGGAGAATGAAAAGGATTATAAAATCTGACCTTTAAAATCAAAACCATAATCTGCTTACCTTAATGCCTCTAATCATTACAGAACAAGGTCTGAAGAACATAACATCTTTCTTGTAAACAAGCTTGAAATCAAAGTTCCCTTCACGTTTTCAATGATCCTATGATATACTGGTCAAAAATAAAAAAGAGAAACTAGTTAACAAATATCACAGGTACTACTCACATCCTCATTCTTTCACTACAATCATGAGAAGACTGTTCAGTTTGTGCCTCAGTGTTATCAAAAGGTAAGTACTTGCCACTGAAAACTATAAATAAAATCTAATATGGTATATGTCGTAAAAAAGAATTTTGTCAGCTAAGCCTTATAGACTTATTGCATACGATGATACAGGGCGGTCAAAATAAAGAACCAGAAGGGATCTTGTAAGTCCAGCCCCTGCCAAAGAAGGTGAACACATTGCAGCATCCCTTTGCAATCTTACTATGTTGATTCAAAACTGATTTTTTTGTACTCCTTATTTCTAAAAGGCTGCTGTAGAATTTCATCCTCTTATGCACCAAGAAGGCTGTTCATTATCTCTTGAATAGAAAAGTTACAAAAAAAGTCTTCATCCTTGACACGGACAACTGTATACAGTAGCCTAGATGGATTTTCCCTGTGCCTTGTATTAATATTTCCTTAACTCGAGTTTGCCTAGCTATAGCACTTGCTTTTTTCATGACCCCGCCAGTTCTGTGGATGAGCAGTCTCCTGATCTCCACTGGATCAACATCTGTCTTCTCCTTTGGCAATTCCAGCTAAGGATTTTCTAGCTTGCAGCAGAACTTCTTTTTCTAAGTTAGCAAAAGCGTATTTTAATTTTTAATTTTCACCCACTTTCTGCTACTCCTGTACATTGAGCTGCTCAGTTCTTCCTGAATGATAATTTTTCAGGATTCATAATACTTCTGAGATTGTGTCATGAGTATTTCACTAACATGGTTTTATTTCTTGTCCTCAGTCATTAGTAAAGACTGTTCCTAAACCGATCCTTGAGGAACTGCATTAGTAACCTCCCCTTAGACCACCATTTCTGCTTTCAGCACAGCTCACCATCATCATCATCATCAGATCTTTAGCTAGTTCTTTGCTCATGTTTTATCTCCTATTTAGGTCAGCTAATACATCCAGTTGTGGTCAAGTGGCAACTGGCCTACTGAAGTCCAGAAAGACTACTTTCTTACTGTACTTCCCTTGTACATCAATTTTCACTTATAAGAGGCAATAGAGAAGTTTCAAATTACAGCTCTTCAACTTCCAGTTTTGCAGAAAGACATTGACCTGTTTGTCAATAGCAAGAAACTGCAGGATCCAGGAGCTCACAACTCATCTGGGTTATTATTCTGCTTCCTGAATCATAGGAAGATAATCCTAGTATTCATGCTGTGGGGAATATGAGGAAGTAATAAAGATCAGATAGAAGACAAACAGGAACACTCAACACCCTCCCCATAATATTTCCACATTCCCTGAATTGTAAGCTTTAGTTCTAAATCTTTGCAAAGTTGTATGTAGAATGTCTTTCAATAACTGAATCAGATCATGTTTACATGCTGTCCACACAACATATTTTACAGCTACAATCTAATGACTCCGTGTAATCAGATATCTTTGACAATCAAGATTCCGTATAGAATTTATTGAACCTAAAATAGCATGTTTCTCTTTAAGCACAATGCAAGCTGACAGGGAAGGAATGAATGTAGCTTCCTTTGGGAATCAAATTATATGAGGATAAATTGATAGGATATGAAATAAATTCCCACTTGTGTTAGGATGACCTGAAAATTTCTCTCTGCTAAGTTTCATGTGCAAACAGTTTCTATCAGGATCCAAAAATACATTCCACATTGCGTTCTACTGAATAAATCCAAAATGTCTTTCAGGAGAAGTTTATCTTACTTCGGTAACACCAGGTTCTGGTGGTTGTTAGTTATCTATCAGTTGTTAAATATTTGCAGAAGCAAATATGCTTGTATAGCATCTAGCTCAAATTTCTTTATCAGTGTAATTGCATGGCTAATGATCTTGGAAGGCACAGGGCCTTTTTCTGAAGGACCTGTGGTAGTAATGACACCATCTCAAACATGACCACAATTGCACGGAGGGGTTGTCTATATTGCCACCCTGTGGATTTGAACAAACAAGTTGAGGCTGCTCTGCGGTAGTCACAATCGCTTGCTCGACAGAGCCCTTTCCTTCGCTCTAAGGTAAACTTCTCCTTCAAGGAACACAAAGTTTAGGTCTGGCACATCCCACGGGGTTTGTTATGGGTAATAAACCTCCATAAAATCAATCCTTTCACAATATAGGCTGGTAAACAAGACATGTTTTGCAAATTGCCAATTATAAATGCAGGATAAAACGGATCTTACATGTAGATTGGATAACTTGTTTTAAAACATTTCTAATGATACATTTGTCTTTTTGTCTACTACCCTTGTACTTTTAATGGAATATTTTTCTCAAAAGTTAAAAAAGGCTATACAAAACAGTAAGGCAACTTGTCCATAAGTAACTTACAATTTTACAAAAACTTGATTAAAAAGGAAACATTCTCTTTCTAAAAGTCATATATTTTACTGGAATATACACACATACACATTTGTGGAAGAATATGGGCATATTCCTTTTCCTGGATGAAAATGTCTTTCATCTTGCAGGGTGATGACAATGTTAGGAAAGAGTATGAGAGGGGGTAGCAGTAAAGAAAAGAAATGGAAGTAGAAGGATATTGGGGATATAAATCAAGACAGCAGCAAGGATGGAGCTTCTCACTTCTCCTCTGTGGGGCCAGGTCTGGGCGTGGTGTGGTACGCACCTGGGTTGAGGGGCTCCTGGCTACGGGCAGCCCCCAACGTGTCTGTGGTAGCCTGGGCTCCACAGGGACTATCCCTGGCTGGGAGACAAGACCTCCTCCCCTGAGGTGCAAGTGAGGCCTGACATCCTCTCCCCGGTTGACCACCTAGCAGCTGCTCCTGCTTCTCACCTTCTAGGAGTCTCTCTTTGTGGTAGCATGGTCAATCCTGGGCCAGCACAGCTCACTCACCCAGAAGGAAGCCATCCTCACATGGAGAAGGACAGGTTCTTCTCTCCTGTGCATGAGTTGACTGAAAGACCTGACTGAAGAACCTGTCTTCTTCTGCCCTCCACCATGGGCTGGAGGGGACTGCACTGGGGGAACCCCTTCTAGCTGGATCCTGTGAAGGGGAGGACAAGGAGCAACTAGCAAGACAGGGCAGGAGCCTGTTCTTTAAGAAACCCAATTCCTTTCATTTAAAGCCATAGAGAACAGCAGAGAGCAGTGGCAATATATGGCTTTGCATCGAGTCATAGTTTCAGGAATGAAATACAATACGGTCCTTTTCTTGTGATCCCATCATCCCTGGTATGACATAGGACAAGTCTGTAACTCTCCAAATATTTTCACAGTGACATTTACAGAGCGTTGTGGCTAAAGGCAACTAATCATAAACATCAAGTTGGTTCTCTAATCTTGCCTTACAATATACCATGCTATTAGGATTAGCTATTTTATTTTCTGTCCCTTTTTAGTACTGTAGCAGATACTGGTGTGAAATCTCTTACTCTAGTGATTCTATAGCAATATCTCACCAGCATTAATCGTATTTTTTTTTGAGTCAGCTTCTACTTTGTAGTCAAAGCAATGTATATGGCAATAACAATTAATCTTGGTTGTGTGATGATAAGCTTAAATCAGGAAAAGATGGAAACGTAAAGATGGTGGCAACTATACAGCCAAATCCCTAAAGCACAGGATTTTCATTTGGAAGTGAAAAGTGGTAAAAATGTAATAAAAGTGAAGAAGAAGAAAATTCAGAGGTTAAATGAAACGCTCTCTCTGACAGCCTGACCCTGGCAAAATCTTTTAAAATATGCAGAGGAAACACAAAATCCTTTAATGAGCTGCCAGTGGGTAAAATCCTTGACCAGGTACTTGAAGAAAGAGCACTGAACCCCAGGCTCAGGAGAAGACTCAAAATCCCCAGCCTAGGGGACACTCATGATCATATTAGAACAGGAGATAAGCAGGCAAAATGTTTCAGAGTTGCTTAGTTTTAAGGCTAATAATAAATGGCAGGTGGTTATGGAGTTTACCTTGCCAAGAAATGTTCTGTAGATCTTTAACTTGATCTAAGTTTTATGCTCTGTTGTTCTGAAACTCTACCTGATAAGTAACCAAAAGACAAGCTCCTCAGCTGGCATGATTTGATTTCCCATGTGTATACTTCAAGGCTGCTGCTGTCAGCCCACAGCAGTTCAAGCAGGGATACCTTGAAGGCTTTGGAGAAGTCTAATAAACTTTGGAGGCTAAATCTCTTCCCATGTGATTGTAAACTTCTCCAGATGGGAGAGAAGTCCTTGGGTGCCAGCGAGTGTCACTGCAGAGGAGAAACAGGACAGCA